GACAGTCCTCCACAGGGGGTCCTTTCTCACTCTCCTACCTCCCCAACCCCCAAGCACATGTGCTTTCTAGCAAACATTGATTTTAAAAAAAGTTATTTTTATTTTTTAGAGAGATTTTTGCTATAGGGCATGTGTACTCACCAGAGAGACAGACAGAAAGACAGAAAGTGAGAATCTTCCTTCCAGGGGGAATGACCATGTTGCAATCCCTTCTCTTCCATTCTTCTCGGGATTTTAGGCATGCATGCATGTGGGCCCGCTGCAAGGTTTAAGTTACGGGGTCTGGGACTCGAACCACAGTTGACTATGTAGGAGTCCGGTGGTATAACCATTATGCCACCTGCTGGTCCCCTAAAAAGCTTTTTTAATTTTTTAAATAATTATTTACTTAATTTTATTTATTCATTCATTTATTTTATCTTGACCAGAAAGCCAGAGAGAGAGAGAGAGAGAAAGTGAGCCCTCAGGTCTGGGACTCAAGCTATGGTCAGCCACGTGGGAGTGTCCAGTGCCTTAACTACCATGCTACCCGCTGATGCCCAAGAAAAGCTTTTTAAAGGATGAATACCACTGGCAGGGTGATTTCCTGCTTTCTGTTTCTCTGTCTCTCTGGTGAGAGACACATGCCCTATAGCAGAAATCTCTCTCAAAAAAAAACTTAACATTTAAAAAAATGATTTTCGGGGCTGGCAGGTGTTGTGGTGGGTAAGGGCACTAGACTCTCATATGGCTAACCATGGTTCAAGTCCTGGACCTGGCAGCTTGCCTTCTCACTTTCTCTCTCTCTCTCTCTCTCGTCAAACAAATAAATAAAGATAAATAAAATCTTTTTTAAAAAAAAATCACACTGGGAACCAGCAGTTAGCGTAATGGCTATGTCGCTGGACTCCCACGTAGTAGACCACGGTTTGCGTCCCGGACCCGGTGGCTTAAACTCACGCCGGGCGTGTGTGCGTGCGTGCCCAAGATCCCGAGAGGAGAATGGAGGAGAAGGGATTGCGGCGTGACCATCCCCCCGGGGGGTGATTTCTCGCTTTCTGTCTCTATGTCTCTCTCCGTCTGGTGAGCGCACGTGCCCTATAGCGAAAATCTCTCCCCCGCCCCCCCAAAAAAAATCACACTGAGTAGGACCAGCAGTTAGTGTAATTGCTATGTCGCTGCACTCCCATGTAGTCAATCACAGTTCAAGTCCCGGACCCAGTGGCTTAAACTCACGCTCGGCATGTGTGCATGTGTGCCCAAGATCCTGAGAGGAGAATGGAGGAGAAGGGATTGCGGGGTCGCTATCACCCCGGGGTGTGTGTGTGTGATTTTTCGCTTTCTGTCTTTCTGTCGAATGCATGTGCCCTAAAGCAAAAAGCTCTCAAAACAAAAACAAAAACAAAAACAAAAACAAAAAAACGCAACCCACAGTGTTTGTGCACATGTGGCCACACTCTCGAGGAGAGAATGGAGACGGGCATCCCCCCGGGGGTGATTTCTCATTTTCTTACTCTCTGTCACTCCAGTAAGTACACGTGCCCTATGACAAAAACCTCCAAAATAAAAAATGGAAACCGGCAGGTGGTTATGGTGCTGGACATACCCACGTGGCTGACCACAGTTCAAGTCCCAGACCTGGCAGCTTGCTGTCTCACTTTTCCTCTTTCTCTCTTTGTGTCTCTCTCTGGTCAAACTAAAAATAAACGAATGAATAAACAGAACTAAATAAATAATTTTTAAAAATTAAAATAAAAACTTAAAAAAATGAATAAGCTAAACATATAAAAGAAAAATGTGTATATGTACAATGGGATACTATTCAGAAAAAATATTGGAAATCAATGCATATTTCCCTTATAATATTCATTTTCTTTTTTAAAAAGTAATTTTTTTTGGAGAGTTTTTTTCCTATAGGGCGCATCTGCTTGCCGGAAAGATAGAGACAGAAAGCGAGAAACCACCCCCCAGGGGGAATAGCCGCGTTGCAACCCCTTACTCCTCTCGGGGATCTCGGGCGAGAGTTTAAGCCACTGGGCCGACACTCGGACTGGACCGCGGTCAACTACTTGAGTCCAGCGACATAGCCATTACGCCAACTGCTAGTCCCAGGAGGGTTTGAACTTTCTTATTAAGGCTTTTCATACATACTATCAAGCTGCTTTCCGAATTGTACTACGTTGTGTCCCAATTAGCAGTTAGCATCGGCCGCCTGCACCCTGAGCCTCATGGCGAGTGTTAATAAGAAAATCTGCCAATCTAGTAGTTTTGGCTTCTTTCATGGGTCATGATTAGGCGGCTAGAGTGGGTTCGGAGAGACCTGGAGTCCTGTCCTTGTTCGGACAACCCGGAGCTCCCTCGCGGAGCTGATTTGAGGATTAGATGTAGTACTGATAAAAGCGCTTCACTCTGGCCTCACGTCTCGCGACCTCGCCAGCGCGCAAGCAGCGGGAGGTCCTGGCCCGGCGCGGTGGGCGTGTCCTCCGGCTTTGATACGCGTGGGAGCGGAGCCAGGCCTGGCGGCGGCCAATCGTAACCCGAGACAGCGGTGCACCGCCCCTTAGGCCCGCGGCTCTAAAGGGCAAAGCAAGCGCGCCGGGACGTCTTCGGGGTCCCGCTGTACTCTCTTGTTTCCGAGTATTCGATCCTTGGTTGTCCCCGTGACTTGGAGGGGAGGACATTCCATCCTCCACGACCCTCGCCGGCCCCAGTCTCGCGGTGGGCCCCACGGTGGAGCTCCTTTAAGAGCCTCGCGGGTCGAACGCCCGAAGTCACCGACTGCCCTCGTCCGCCGGCCCC